ATACTTAGTAGTCATGGATAATAATATATTCCTGCAGTGCAATCATCACGGGTGATTCCGGTCATCGGGTCAATAACCTTTCTCTTCTTTTTTCTAATTGTTCCGATAGGGTATGTGCCTATGTATGTATGTGCACGGGTACTCTAAAGCTATGCAGTAGATAATAGATAATAGATGATATATTTACTAGGTGCAAAGTTCAAATATAATTACAAACCCCGCTGTTCCGGTCGGAAGTAAGAAAAGGAAGAAAGGAAGAAGTATCAAGGAAAGAGTCGGATGAAGATAGTAAGTAGTAGTAGTAGTAGTAGTGGGGGAGGGGTAAATCGAATTTTACTACTACTTACTTACTTCCCTCCGGACTACGGTAATTCATTACCTACTTTATTTTCCCCCCATCATGTACAACATACTAATTTATCATACTTACAGATTAATTCTACAGAATTGATAATCATCAAATAATCAAAACCCCGTCGTATAGCGACATCCCCATTTCGTATAATAAATTGTGTTATTTGTTTTAGATCTATGCAAATAAACTCCAGCTGCTTTTTTGATGTAATTTTAGATAAAACGAAAAGTTGGACAAAAATAATGATTTTTCTTCCGATTCTCGGAGAAGGAAGAAAAGAGACCAGACCCCCCATCACAAGGGGGAGGGAGGGAGGGAGGGGGTGGGGTGGGGAGCAAGTGTCAATGCAAGAAAGAAAGAGAAGAAAAAACTTGCCCGGCGCTTATAATCCATGCAAGTCCGGGATGTCGCGGACGTGGAAGAGACAAAAACAGGATAAGCAACTAATAAAAAAGAAAACAAATACTTTGGAAAATGGACCCTCGGTCCAGAACGGAGGGGATATCATCGAGAAGCAACTGCAGTGGCGGGTGGATAAGAAAAAAACACAACCCACTCGAGAGACGCAAATGGAAATAGCAATGGAAAATGTAGTAGTAGTAGTGAGTCAGCCAAAATAGCCCCAGAAACAGAAATGGATAATAACAATCGGACTCCGTTTCAATATCATGAAAGATAAAGACCAGTTATGTGATCGCGCGCGCATGTTTTTGTATCCCAGATCACAGATCTCCTAACACCGGCCCGGTCTCCATGTGGTAGATGTATGTTCGTAAGCATAAAAGCAAATCCCAAGTCGTAAATTCGTCATCCCAGTTTGAATCCTATTCCCGCTTGCAAATAGTCGTCCCGTGCTAGGCTGACTATTCGTCCTTTAGGCTACCGATCAGATTGCGAAGCGCATCCAGAATGACTGCTTCGTCCTTCGGTTCGCCGCCGGGGAACGAACTATCCGTGGCATTGCCGAGAACGCGAGCCCGGGCACTCTTGAGCACCTCCCGGATGTAGTTCTTATCCTCGTAGTCTTCCATCAGGACCGCTTCAAAGTCGTCAATCGCCTTGCTGGCCCGCTCATTGAACGACGACGCCTCCGAGTTGTCCATTGGGCCTGGCCCAGGGTCGTGACCCATGCCCATATTCGGCGGAGGGTGCTGCATAGGTGGACCTGGGGGCGGCGGTGGAGGATGATGGCCTTGATGTGGCGGTGCATTCATCGGCGGCATGGACGGTGGGTTAGGCGGAGGATAAGGTGACTGGTGCTGTGGTTGGGGTGGCATTGGCTGCGTCTGTTGCGACTGCTGCAGCTGAACCAGCTGCGGCGGCGGATCCGAGGCATAAGGCGAGGTATAAGTGGAGGGCGTAGTCTGCGCAAAAGCAGGTGGAAGGTTGTTGCGGAGCGGACTCGGTATCGGGAAGGGTGTAGAGGCAGCAGCTGGAGCAGGGGGCGGATAGGGACTGGAATGGTGAGGTGTAGGAGTAGGATTGGGGGCAGGAGCTGGGGGAGGAGGAGGTGCATAAGGATTGGGAGGCATAGAGGGGAATTGGAAGTGCGGATTGGCCATCCCAGGTTGTCCATGCTGATTGCCATAGGATGGGTTCAGTTGGGGCATATACTGGGGAGTAGCTGCCGGTGCAGACGGAGGCTGCGAGGCCGGCGGAGGAGGCGACGGGCGTCGCTTCTTTTCTTTCTCAACTGATGCCCCTGGGCGGAGCTGCCACGACCATCCTTTGCCATCACGCTCTGCATGCATGAAGAGATGGCTGTTGCCATTCAGGTTATGTCGCACACTAGACGTCCAGCCTTCGGTTTCACACTTGAATCGGAAATATGGGTATTTCAGCTTCAGGGCGCGGTAGATCTGCTTGAGCGTCATCGGAGTACCAGCCTCAGTGAGGGCATCAAAGATAAGCACAGCATAATTGTATGGTGGTTTGGCCAGATCCTCCGGTGTGTAAGCGGATTCGGGAGGGTAGTTGGGCGACGGTGAGCGCGAGGGCTTGCGCTTTTTGACTGGAGGTGCCTTGATGAACTCCTCCGGGCGATGTTCCATGGGAAATTGGCCGCCCTCGGTTGAGGGTAGTGGAAAGTCCATTGGCGTACCATCAGGCTTCTTCCTCTTCGTGTACTTGCGCTTCTCCGGCTTAGAATTAGGCGACTCCGCACCAACTGATTCTTTGGGTGTTGCCGTAACACCACTGGTTGGTGCCGGTGCCTTTCCAGCTTTGGGACGGTTCATGGGCGGAGGAGTGACGCCTCCATTGGCCTCGCGCTTCGCCGCCAACTTCTGTTCTCTTGCCAGTTCGGCTCGCTCGCGTTTGGACATGATGCCGTCCTTAGGCGGCCGTCCAGGACCACGACGCCGAACAGGCTGCTGGTTGGGATCTCCGGAACCTTCAACGGACTGCACTGGTCGCGACGGATCAGGTTCAGCCCGGGTCTTGAGAATGATCTTAGTGGTCTTCGGCGTCTCCTTTGTCTCTGAGCCATCAGATGCGCGCTTCGGAGCTGGCGTTTCGTTCTCGGCCGTAGTTGAAGCCTGAGCATTCTCATCTTCGGCCGTAAATGGTTCTTCCACTCTATCTGCTCCAGTTTCGCCAATTGGCACGTCGGGAAGCAGGAAGCGGATGCGGACGCCTCCTATTTGGATATAATCGCCACTATGTAGGGGTCTTACTTGCCCCGGTGATAGCCAATCCGCGCCGATGAAAGCGCCATTTCTTCCCATAACCTCCATTTCGAAAAGGTTTCGGTCAAAGTTGTATGCAATTTTGACATGTTTACGTGAAATCCCTCGATGCCCGGCAGCACTACCGTCAACCGTCGCTGGGGGATGAATAGGGATCGTTGGACACGCATCCGGCGAAGGAAGTAAAGCCAAAGCATCCACTGGCTTCGCATCGCCGTTCTCTTCGTTCAAAGACTGCATTGCAAGTGCATTGTAATCGGTAGTCGATTGCAATTGGGCCGGAGTCGCATGCAACGGAGCCGATTCCGCGTGCGAAGACACGGACGAGCGACGACTGAGATGGTGTGGTAAATGAGGCGGAATATCGGGATCAAACCCCATAATACCACCGCGGTCACTGACCACACTTCCCAAGATGCCACTGCCCTCATGTTTCACGCGGTTGGGCGTATGCGACGTGTTGCCACCGCTCGAACTCTTAGCCCGGGAAGTCCTCATCGCCTGACGGACCTGGATTTCGCGCTGATGCGCCGCCCGGGCCGCTCGTACATCACGTCCAAGAATGAAGGAGTATGTATTGCAGTAAAAGTGACCGTCATCGAATTCTAGCTTCGCAAATGCCTGGATTCGGGGCTCCGATCCCGCGACCGAGCCAGCGATATCGTGAGACAAATGCCCACCAGAATAGCCAAGGGCGGAAAGATCAGCGCTTTGCGAGAGGTAGGCGGCGGTAAGCATCTCATTCTGCTGGAGGGCTTCAAACGGGGTCTTCGGAGCGGCGGTGATATCGAAGGAGGAAAAAAGGTCGGGATGGTCTAAACTCGCTTTGGAGAACAGTAACGGATCCGTCAAGCCTTCTACAGCATCTGATGCCTTTATTGACATACTATCGCCATGATCTGGGTTCGAAAAAGATAAATCGGTATGTTGTTCGGGGTTTTTCTCGTCTTCTTGGTGAGGAGCCAGCGATTCAGTCGATTCCGGCGGAAACTGATCCGCGCCTCCATTGGTCGAATCTGCAGGGGCAGCCGGGGGTTCGGAGGTCGATTCGAAGTGCCATTGACTCTTTACATCCTGGTCGTTATTTTGAGACGGCTCGGCCCCGTCTTGGGTTTGCGGCATTGGATGATCCTCAGACTCCAGCCCGTCGGCCGAGACCTGGTTCCCGAGGAGTTGAGCCAGGAGCGCGCTGGCGGCCGATTGACGACGCATATCGGACTGGGCTTCTGGAGGAGCGGACGCGGAGGGGGCAGAATCGTGGTCGCCGGGTTCGGATTTGACCACTGGGGTGGTTGAGGACAGGGTAGACAGGCCATTGGGAGGAGAGTCGGGGGCAGAATCGTGCAGAGGGCGGATTGCGGAGTCGCTGGGCGGGGAGGGGTGCGGTTGGTCGTCGTGTTGCTGCTGCGAGCGGGCGTAGTCGTACACGGACGACATATTTGGAGCAGCATCTGGCGGACGATGGCCCACCGCAGACGCTGTCATGGTCTGCGACGACGACATGACCGGCGGGCAGGTCTTGAGGGCGGAGGGGGATTGGAGAAGGACGACGGGCTGGGAGAGGAGGAGGAGGAGGAGCAGAAGTCGAGGGCGGTGAGGCTGAGGCCCCCGTCCTACTCGCCCTGTGACTGGCTGGGCCCGTCACGCCCCGGTCGGTTTTTCATAAATTTTCTGCCAGATTGTGACGGTATTTTTGGCATACATCTATGCAAACGCAGCATTGTTACTGTACCCGCATGGTTATTACCACCCGGGAACGTATCACGGGCCTTGATTCACTGTTTCCGTACCTGAACTTGACCCCATACTATACCACTCACTAGTAAAGTAACTTACCTGGGAACTTTTTTTTTACTCCCCATCCCGGACCGACAGATCAGACCAGACCGACCTGCATAGTACTACTTGACGACCATAATCCCCGTCACTCTGACTTACTACTGACTCATTATCCATCTGTCTAACTATTATCTCCTCACCGACTCTCACTCCCAGTCACCATACACATCACCACCCCCACAAAAAGAATGCCCAAAAAGACATCCAACTCCAAGCAGCAGCAGCAGCCCCCCTCATCCACCCCCAAATCCCATCTCCAACAAAAACACCAGCAGCAGCGGCAGCAACCCCCCAACTGGCCCCCTCTCCGCCCACTCATCCCCTCCACCTCTCTGACCCTCGACCCTCTCGTCCCCGACCAAATCTACCTCATCCGGAACTTCTTCCCCTCGACACTCTGCAAAACCTACACTTCATTCCTGGCCTCCCTGCCACTGACCACCACACCCGGCAAACCCAAGAAGGGCGATGCAGTGCGAGTCAATGATCGGTTTCAGATCCAGGATGAGGGGTTCGCGGAGGGTCTTTGGTCGGGGACGGCGCTGAAGGAGATGGTTTTGAATGCGGGGATTGAAGATGTTGATGAAGAAGAGGAAGCAGTGACAAGAGATATGAAAGATATCTGGGGCGGGGAACCTATCGGCCTGAATGGGAATATCCGTATATATCGGTATTCGAAGGGGCAGTTCTTCGATAAACATTGTGAGTCTATCCTAACCCCTCTTCCCTTTATCCTTCTTTCTTTTAAAAATCATGGTATCTCGGGAGGTAGAGGTGGGAAAAGCTTGTCGGGTTGTAGAAGGATGATGTTTCGTAGTCAACTCCTAAGTTAAAAGTAATTCAGTATGCTGATAGCTGCTCCTACCGTAGATGACGATTCAAATACTATCACTTTCTCTTCGCCCGGTCGTCCGCCCCGTGCGGCCCGCACCACTTGGACGCTCCTTATCTACTTGACGAGCTGTGAGGGAGGGGAAACCGTCTTCTATCCGGAGGCGACCCGGTCTAATCGCAATCCGGAACCTGTGTCGGTGGCTCCGGTGCCGGGAATGGCGCTGCTGCATCGGCATGGAGATCGGTGTATGTTGCATGAGGGGAAGGAGGTGCGGGAGGGGGAGAAATGGGTGTTGAGGAGTGATTTGGTGGTTGCGCGATGATCTACAAAGTACTACTTGGGTATCATTTAAATTTACAGATACAGAGTCTGCTGCTTTTGAGGCTATGCTGTATTATAAATATCATCTTACGCATCCTATCGACACTGTCAAGCACTTGTCGTACATGTCAACCATATATGTATCCTTCGTAGCCAATGAGCTATTATAAACATAGAAACGGCAAAAGACAGGAATAACCCAGGTGGTTTATCAATGACACACGCGTCCGATCGCAGCGAACGAAGTGAGCAGCCTGGTGGCTGCGGCTTCCTGCGCGACTCGGCCATGAATATAACCCGTGTATGAACAGTCCAGAGACATACACAACCCCCCGCGATGCCGATAGTAAAACACGACCCAAAATGTTTCGCCGATGAATAGGGGATCCTTTTTTCAGCCATCTGTCGTAGATCTCAAGACCAACAGGCTTCCCCGATTGGTCCGTCCAACTAAGAGCATAGATAGGCGAATTAACGACACAAGAAAGAGATAGAAAAGTCACCACATTGTCCCACACAAAACTCCCTCCCTCTTCGCCAAGGATTTCGTGTATTTATGACCCATTACGCCTCTCAAGCGGGCACAGGTTTAGATTCATATTCCGCTCGTCGCATGATATCTTCCACAGGGCCGAGTAAGCGCTTGAAGCCATCCCGGCCCAGTTTCGCCACCTTCACCTCTGTCTTGGCCACGATGCTTGCAGCCCGTGGCTTGTCGTCCAACAAGGCTAGCTCACCAAAGTAGTCGCCGCGCTTGTAGGACTTCACAGGGCCCTCCACACCATTCTTGAAGGCCTCCGCCTCTCCGGATTCGAGAAGGTAGAAAGCATCACCTGGGTCGCCCTCGTTAATGATCGTAGAGCCAGCAGGATACTTGATGGCGTCCAGAGCATCGGCGATCTTGGCACGCTCATAGGGCTTCAGGCTGGACAGCAGCGGCACCTCCTCGAGGAATGCCTCGTACATGCGACGGCGCTGGAAGGCCGAGTCCATGAGGATTCGGCGGAAAGTGATGCGGTCCAAGGCCCAGAGGGTGCTCTTCGGGTCCACCGACACAACGGTGGCCGCGCGAGGCGCATTGTACATGAGAGCCAGCTCTCCAAACGAGCCTCCGGGTCCAACGGAACCGACTTTGTTGCCCATGCCCTCCGGACCGGGTTGCACAGAGCCCGACGGGTGGATCATGAAGTCAAAGTGGCCATTCTCTACGATGTAAAAGTAGTCTCCAGCATCACCCTGGCTGATGACCTTGATACCCTTGGCGGGGATAGGCTTCTCCACCAGGGCATCGAGCACACTCTTGAACTGGTCATCATCTAAGTGCGAGAAGAGGAAGTTGCTGCTGACCGCGGTCTTCAGCCGAGCCAGCTGCTCCTCTGATTTCTCATGGTACGGGGGAGTCCAGCTATCTGAGCCAGCCGAGGTCGGGTTCAGCGACTCTGCAGAAACCGATGTCCGGCGGCCCAGCGCGTAGTTATTAGGGAATCCCTGATTCGCGGCGCCCGTGGGGCGGATGTCTTCTGGAGGGAACTCGTCGGCACCCTCCTCGTCCTCCTCTCTGGGCCCATTGTCGAAGGGACTCCTGTTGAATCGAATTGGACCGCTGTTATCGCCATAACCACCACCAAAGAAGGGGCTGCCGGTCGACGAGGATGCGGCAGCGGCGTTGGCAGATCGAAAAGTGGGATCGGTTGGTGACGTCACCTCGTATTCGTCCTCCTCGGAGATCTTCTGAAAAGCAGCGGCTTTGTCGTCTTTTGTGCCCACCCGGAGGGGTTGTTGGGCGCTGGGGAATGCACTCTCAGCCATGCTGGCGAAAGAAGGGCCGGAGAGAACACCGCTCCGGCCACAGTGAAGCGGGGAAGTTGGAAGGTCGGGAGACGGCGACTGAAGCGGCCGGCACGTAAGGACGGAAATGGTCTGAAGGAGGTCAGACGCTGAGCAAGACTTGGAAAGGCGAGCAGGTGAAGAAATAGAATGTATGTGCGGGAGAGAAGGAGAGAAAAAGTAGGAGGGGGCAGTAGTCATCAGAAAGCGAGAGTAGTAGTAGTAGTAGTAGCAGGGTTTGGAAAGGACGGGGGGAAACAGAAGATGTGGTAGCACAAGCCCGAGAGAAAGAGAGAGGGAGGGGAGGGAGGGGCGGGTAGGGAAACCGACCAGAAGGTCGTAGCAGCAAGCAGATTGGAAGGTGGCCGTGGATGGAACAGAAATGGGGGATCCAGTCAGGGAAGCAAGATCATTGATGATTGGGGTCTCCGCTAAACAGTGTGGGTATTGGGTCCAGCAGGCCTCATTGGAGGTCCGCCGTGGTACGTTTTTCTGCTTCGGAGCCTCTGAAGCTTTCTTCTGGCGGAGTGAGGGAGCTGTTTTGCCCGTAGATAGCTGGCCAGAGCTGTCCTTGTGCAGAGTAGATCTCACGAACCAACACAAGCAATGTAGATACAGAAAAAAAAAAGGTAACAAAACTTGAGGAATATAATAGTGAAATACACAATAAAAAGAATTTAAGAAAAAATAAATGAGTCCAGTGTGAAACAACAAGCACAACAATCACAGCGGGAAAGGAAAATCACCGGGCAAGCTTTGGAGGGGCAACACGGCAGAAGTTTAATGGAGAGTAGCTTTGGGAGGAGGGATTCTCTTACCAGTGAGACTTCAGCGGCTTCTCGGTCGCGTGGGATTTGCAGACAATGGAAGGGTTGGGGGACCGGCTAGAAAAATGGCAGAAACACCTAATTTCGGGATGGAAGCCTTCTAGACAGTTCAATGGGGGGCTGCTTTTAAATGAAATTGAATGGCGCCAGAAAAGGGGTGGTGGTGGTGAAGTGGTGATACGCAGGGAACTTGATCCGGAGGGGTTGCAGAAAAAGGGAGGGGAAATAAATGAATTAATGAAGAACCATGAAAAAGGCGGGGAGCAAACCAAAAAGCCAAACTGGATGATGGATGGATTATTATATGACTCGCGTCTAAAAAGTAAAGTCCTCTCATGATCATATCACTCTTTACTTCTATTTGCAGTGGAAAATCATGATTTTTCATTTTTATTTCCCTTTTCATTCTGATTATCTCCCTTCCCCCCCCCTTTCCCAGTCTATTCCATTCCAGGAGTTCGGCTCTATCCTACGACTGTACACACCATCCTTCGGAGAACTCCCCGGTGGTGCCCTTGTCGAACCCACCACCACCACCATCACTCAGGCCACCCTCCGTTCTTACTAGTAGACTCACCTCCTTAATTAAGGGCAACGGACTAAATTTCGGATGTGTTGGGAACCTTCATCGCTAGGACAAGATGGCTCAGACGGCTCGATCGACGTCACGGACACCCCGCTAGTCCAGTCCACTACTTCAATAGCTGACGGCCTTGGGTCAATAGTCTGTCTCCATTCCTAGGTATTATCAAATGAAATCCATAGTCGGGCGTAGTCGATCGGACTAGCACCGTCTCAGCGTGTTCCAGAAGGTGAAAACGAAAAGGAGACGTGGACGATGGGCCCCAGACCTCCGAATCCTTCAGCCCAGTCGACCGGGAACGGACGCGATGTGGAAGAGGTGGAAGCTTCGATCGGCCCTCCCAGGGGCTTCCAGACGGTTTCTAGAACATTGCGGTATTCGGAATAGGAGGGCCAGTCAGAGTGCCAGCCAGCACTGGGTTGCGTTGCGTTGCGCCACCGGCGCTGTTGATTGAGATTGACAATCAGACCCTTGAACCGACCAACAACAAAGGGGGCGGGGAATCGCAATTAGTCCAGGCCAAGCAGACGCAAAAAGGAGACACTTACTGCCGACCAAGCATCATTCCTGCCCATCCCAATTCATCAAGGGTCGGTCTCGATGCAGACATAATTGGCTCATTGGGGGTTCTGATTTTCTCATCAGGCCCGACACAGGTGGCGAACGAAATGGTGCTTGCGTTTGTGAGTCTGCTCTCCGTTCGGATGATCTGCTCGCTGAGGTCATAGCCAGGGTAGACTATCCGTTCGTTGACGTTTGCTGGAGAGCCACCATTCTGACAGGGCAAGTGGTTCCGTCAGCCACTTCGAGGTGTCAAAGTGCCATCATCTCCACTGAGAAGGTCAAGGTAACGGTCTGCTGCTTGCCAATCCGGCAGGCAATGAGAGCTATCAGACACACAGAGCTCCCATGGATCCATGAACTCGTTGCTGCTTTTGGCTCCATTCGAACCGACCTTCCCTCCCAAGCCTAATCCGGTTAGTGTTCTAGCCGTTATCGCATTCTTGGTTCGTCGACTTGGACTATTCCTTGTGCGGACTAGCTGATGTCCGTGCTCTCTGAATCAGGATTAGCGCCGGGAGTGCTGTTGGTGGAGGATGGAAAGACAAGACAAGAATGAATGGGTGTTGAATTCATCCACTCCAGCGCTTCTTCTTACCGCTCATCCACAAGGTCAGCTCTTATTCTCGTGATTATAGCCTGAAACAATCATACAAACAGGGCGGTTATCTGTTGGTGTGAGCTTCGACAAAAAGGAGGGAGGGTGGGCGGGGCGAGTGCCTAATGCAAGTTCGCCAACAGTCACATTAGATGGCTGGACTGGACCTTTCGATCTTACAGTGTAGTAGTCCAGTCTAGTACTTCGGCTGTGGGTTGGGATCTACACGGACCATATAAAGTTTTCCAGGCCCTCACAGTGCATATGTTGAATAACTTACTCCCATGTCCTTTATAGTCTGTACGGATCAATATGTAAAGCAATGTAGGTGATTTGATCAGGTCCGTCAGGTACCATCGACGTGTTTTATCCAGTAGAAACTCTTGCCTGTGCGAAGCCCCTGGGAAGATGCGCCAAAAGGCAAGGCGAATGGCTGTGACTACGGGCAGGAATGCAGCCCTGCACGAGCCTCCATACCAGCGGACTCTTGGGGATTCCCACAACAAGGTTCTGATGAAACTGGCCAAGTCTAGCGCGATAAGATGCCAGCTGTCGCTGCGCTGAGTTGTACACGGGCTGGCAAAGAGCTGGCAGCCACTGGGAGTGTCTAGAATTCTTTCCGGTACGGGGTGACTCAATCCATGTGTTATTCCGCGAGGCTTGCTTAGAATTCATCATTACCGAATCCTCGACACAGAATAAGCCACGGCGAAAATCATTGCGTGTGTGTGTGTATGCTGTTGCTTGCTGTTTTCGCCTTGATCAATTTTGACACCAGGAACATCCAAGTGGCGGCTTCTTACAGCGTACCTACTTACTCACTTGCCAGTCAATACTTCCTGCCAAAGAGTCCGACCGGTGACGGTCTGTGTGCGACCGAACAGTCCCCCCCGCTCCATCTCTCTCTCCCCTCTCCATCTTTTCCCAGCAACACTTTATCGCCGTTCCCAGCCTCTTCCATACGCCATTTCTTACCATTCTTTAATCTTTTTTTATTTTATCCTGTTTGCTCCGAGCGTTTAGCTCTTTCGTTATCCCTCCGTTCCTACTACAGTCTCTGCTGCTGACAAGTTCCTGCTCCCACCACATCTATTGTCTGAGTTTGGGGGATCCAAAGCCCACCCGCCGTAAAGATGGGGAGCTACACATTTACATGGTAAGTGACAGATCCCATTCTCCCACCTTCTGGACCCTCCAATTGTGGGGGATCAGCCACTCCACGGCCCTCCTGTGGAAATTCTATTCTATCCGACACCTTCCGTACCAAGCGACAAGCACGTATGGATCAAAGCCTAGCTTTCTTCAGCGTCATGAGCTTGAAACTCTCGGGGTGGATTTGATCGCTGACCGATGCGGATCCTCGCATGCGACCAGGCCGTACAATGCGAACGAAGTGTTTGTCACCGGCACGTTTGATGACTGGGGCAAGACAGTCAAATTGGATCGCGTAGGCGATGTCTTTGAGAAGGAAGTTCCGTTGCCAGTGACGGATGAGAAGGTGCACTACAAGGTGAGACAGCAGTCGCATGCTCTGCACATGACTTTTATGGCGCAGAGCCGTTCCCTGTCCTGATTTGCCTGCCATGCCATTGTTTGTACTTCCCGCCGAGGATTACGTCCTTTGATGGGGAAACTCATCGTGAGGATCCGTTCCTCTTCCAGTCCCTCTGCCTGTCCTGCTTATCAAGTTCCATCGCGCGATGACGCTCCATCCGTGGACTGACGTCATGTCGCCGCCAGTCGCGGACGGGCGTGGTCTCCCCCTCTTATGTCTCTCGCTACTCTCCTCCCCCAAAACTATAAGACTCTCTTGTCAGCGTCATCGTTGCATTGGTTCCACAAACTAACAATTGTTTTTTCTTTGGTTCATAGTTCGTCGTTGACGGCATCTGGACCACCGATAACAGAGCTCCCGAAGAAGACGACGGCAGTAGCAATATCAACAACGTTCTCTATCCCGACCAAATCCTTAAGAGATCAACCACACCTTTATTAAACGGCACTGCAGATATGGCCGGGGTCACACCAGGCTCGACAACCGCTGCATTGGCAGCCGGAGTCCCAAAGGAGTCCAGCAGCAAACAAGGACAGAATGGATACTATCCCACCATCTCATCGGCCGCTCCGGGGTCGACTACTGCCGCGCTCGGCCAGGATGTCCCGCTCGAGCAGAGGGCCAATGTCCCCGGATCGTATCCCATTACCCCAGCCAGCGAAGCTGACAAGTTCTCCGTGAATCCCATTCCGGCGTCCAGTGGCGCGGGAAACCCGATCAAGCTGAACCCGGGCGAGAAGGTGCCTGATCCCAGCACCTTCAACACCAACACTATCTCTTCGACCGCACGTACCGACCGGGCCGGCTATGAGCAGGGCACCAGTGGTGGATTCCCCGGAAGCCCTGCTTATGATGCCAGTGCCTTTGCGATTCCCCCGGTGTCCAAGAACATGATCCCCGAGTCTAGTCTGCCAATGGGTGAAAACCAGGGAGCGACTGATCCCACCTACACAATTCAGTCGGCTGCACCCACATCCACGACTGCTGGGCTTGCAGCTGCTGTCCCGCTGGAGTCTCAGCGACAAACAGGCGGCAGAGTGCCCACGAGAGATGTCCCGGATGTGGTGAGACAGTCGATGTCTGAAGCCCATCGGGACCCTGAGGCGGCCACCAGCAAGGAGGCTGTCGATGAGAAGAAAGAGATGGAAGAGGAACTTCGAAGGAAGGTTCCGGTGGACAACTCGACTGGCGCGCCGGCGCCTACCACTGTTGCTGGGCTTGGTACTTCATCTGGACTTGGATTCACCGCTGGGGCTGCTCCTTCGACCAACCTTGGTCCTTCCACTGGCCTTGACGTTGCTACTGGTATGGGTACCACTACCGGTCTGAGCGCTGTGGCTGGAGCTACCGCTGCACAGGGCTCTCAGAAAGAGACAACCAGCGGGTTGCCGGCTCACGATGTCCCAGATGTGGTCAAGCAGTCGATCTCTGAAGCTCATCGGGATCCGGAGGCAGCAGGTGTCGAGGAGGCTGTCGGAGAGAAGAGAGAAGTCGAAGAAGAGCTTCAACAGAAGGTTCCCGTGAGCAATCAGTCTGGCACACCCGCACCTGTGATCACGGCTGCTACTTCTGAGAGAGCACCAGGAGCGTCTGATGTTGAACCTGCTTCGGAGAGCGCGCCGCGTGCTACTGGTGCTGAGTCGGCTTCGGCCCAAGTCTCTCCCAGGGCCACTACCCCTGCAGATGGGCCCACGGTGACCACCGGAGTTGCCACATCAAAGGCTCCTGAAGAGTCTGGACCTGGCGCATCTGGGCGTGAGGACACTACCGAGATTCCGACGAAGCCCGCTGCTGGCGCGACGGGAGCCAGTGCGACCAAGACTGTCGACTCTGGCATAGAGAGTGGCATTGCTCCCGACGAGACAGCGCCTGCTCCGACAACTGGTGCCACGGGGGCCAGCGCAACGAAGACTGCCGATCCCACCGGGGCCAGCGGTGCACCAACTAGTGGTACCAGCAAGCCAGCAGAGTCCGCACCGACCAGCAATGCGGCAGCCACCTCGAAGCCGACTACCAACAATGCCGCTGGAGCGACGACGAATGGCAAGGAAGAGAAGAAGAAGAAGAAGGGCTTTTTCTCGCGACTGAAGGAGAAGCTGAAATCGGTTTAAGAGGATGCAATAATATGGCTTCTATGATAATGACCCGGGTGTATAATGGGAGGTGGAATGGGGTTTTATGCTTTTCACGTTGACTGGATACCTTGTTTGCATGGCTCGTATAATTGCTACGGCTTGTTTGGTTTATTGCTGCTCCACGGAGCATCGATAGCTAGTATGATAATGTTAATGTTCTGATGAATATATGCCGAGTCTACCTATTGATAAGATGTAGCTATATTACTAGATTACCAGATTACTAGAATACTAGATGGGTATTGCGTTGCTCACAGCCCCATTGACTTTGACCGGATACCCAAGGACACTAGCAGAGATGTCAGTATACGCAGTAGACATGATAGAAAGAAAGAAAGAATGAATGAATGAAAGACATACTCCTTCCCCGTCTGCGTCAAACAACAACCACAGAAAATCGACGCCGGATAGCAAATGACCTGCAGGCAATTACCAAGTTAGTTGTCAATTCAATTCAAGCCATTGCGAAGGCCAAGTAGTTGTGATGTAAAATACATACAGCCGCGACCACCGTACAGATAAAGCCTGAAGGAGTTATTAGCATACATACTTATATATGAAACAATGGTTTTGGGGGAATATTAGGAAGGGATATACCTAATGTCGGTCCCACAACCTTACAGCGACATGGGTTTTGGTCTGTTCCGCATTGGAAGCAGATGGGGAAGATGGGGAGGAAGGGGATGTCGCACATTGTTATCTTTGCTTTGGGGGTTGGAGTGAGTGGTGGATTAGGTATTAGGATTAATTAGGTATTAGGGGGATTCAATGGATAGATGGAGAATAGGAAATGGAGGGGAGTTTCTGGTGTTGTGCTGTTGTATATTCTGTGTTGGGAGTACATTCCTGGGTTGTGAAGTAGTGCTGTGTCGTCATCATGAATCATGTATGCTGCATACTACTTAACTGTAGTAGCTAGAGTTGAAACTGCATGATAAGGGGTTTATGCATGGTTATTTCATAGGATATCTTGTGCCTGTTATTATTCTATAGATATAAATATATATGAGAATAGATTTGTGTTGAGTATTCTACTAAGTAAGTATTGGCATGTTCAATATAGTGCGTGAGAAAGTGATGGTCACGTTCCACCGTACCTTACATACACACACACCTTTCATCAATAGCAATTGATCAGGTGTCAAATCAGATGACAGTTCTGCTTAGCACAAACTAGTAGTAATACTTCGATAACCATATTATGCAAATGTCACAACCAACTACCGAACCCTGCATCCCATCCCAATTCATCATCCCTTCCCGCTTTTTTCCCTCCCCATCAACGCTCTGCATACCTAATCGGGTAATGTTTATGCTGATAGATGGAAAACCGAAATTGACTGCATGACCTGCATCAGCCATCAATATATCATCCATCCATCCCTGCTCTTCATACATATTCCCCAATACTAGCACTACTATAAATACTCCAAATCACCTACACAGCCATTTCCCATATCCTGTCTCCATTACCAAGCCACACTAACATACAAAACCACAGCAGTATAAGTCTAGGCATCCTAGGCACCCGAATTCCCCGTTGGTGGAAATAGGAAATAGGAAATAGTTCACAAGGCAGGCATTTTCCTTACGCCCCCGCCCGCACACAAGCCTTGGCATTATTGTCCGAGTTACGCACGCAAAGCCACACGCATACTTTCCTTTCCTTGGTTGAGTGGGTGGGTTTACTTGAATTTGAGGAGAAAACTATCTTTGCTTTTTCTCCTTTTTCTTCTTACACTTGTGACCTACTGTTGTGGCTTTACTATTCTATTTTCTTCTCGTGTCAAAGCCACAATCCCCCACCCCAGGATTAAAATCAATAATTTAAATACTCCTCGTGTGGGTTAGTTATATAAGGTGTTCGTTCGTGTTCGTGTTCAACTCAAGTTTCCGATCCATTCGATCAGCCCTACGCCTTATAAGGTCAACAACCCGCACACCACATTTCACCTCACTTCACTTCACTTCTACAACCACCACCACAACAACAACAACCCTACGGGTACAAAACGAAAAAAGGGAATAAAGAAGATGACCCGCCTCTACCCCCTCTTCATCCTCCTCTTCGTGCTCCTCATCCTGGGCACAATCTTCTACATCACCTACTCGATCATCCAAGATGTGAAGCGCAACACGCGATCCAAGATGGAGAAGAAGAATGTCACCTTCTCTCGGGATGGAGTCACCGTCGGTGTGAAGGAGTTGAAAGATGAGGATTATTTGGATCGGAGTCAGAGGTATATCCCCTTCCCCCCACCCAACATTCTTTTGGTATTGTGTTTGTGGGCAGAGGCTAATTCATCTGGCGACTGTGTAGCATTCTGGTTAGCATGTGGAATCATACCTCCTTCCCTGCGTATAAGAGTCGACTGTGGGATATGACGAAGCCGACGAATTGGAATGAGAATGGCGCTGGGGCCAGTGATGATGGGTTGAGGGATCGGTTTTGGAGTGCGGCGGGGAAGGTTGGGGAGTGGGCTGGGTATCAGCAGGGTCAGGAGGGGGAGGGGGATAAGAAGGGGCAATGATGAGTTTGTTGAACTTTGGGGGCGTGTGGGGTTTATATAATACTGGGGATTAGGGATTGGGGATTGGAGTTCTGTGTTGGTTTGGGTTTCCTTCTGCATGGGGTGCGTGCGGGTGGTATTATGCTCTGCTATGCTGTACACGCTGGCTTGCATTCATTATTAGCTATGCATTATGCGGCTATCTCCTTTTTTGCTCTTCTTGCTGACGAGATACATGAATCAACGAATCGCATTGACTCGCTTTCAAATCAACTTTGCATATGTGCATATGTGCATATTGCAGTCATCATAATGTTAGTCACATCTCATCCGTCTCATCATCATGAGTTTAATCGAGGTTCTCGTAATAGTCATAATCCTGGTTCAGCTTGTAGTATGGATCCGGCTTCGGCTCCCAGCTGCTGCCGTACCAGGTCGGCGTCGTCAATTTCTCCGGCGTGTCGTCGCGCTTCTCGCTCGAGAAGATGTACTCGAACGTCTTGGCCCATTGCACGCGGTTGTTCAGTCCCTCCAGACCCCACAGTTCCTGAAGGAAGTGCAGGAAGGAGGTGTGCGTGTACGCCGAGTTGTTGGCATACATGGTACCCTGGTCGTGGATCAGGTGGTTCGCCGGGATGTAGGGCGAGATGACGAATGACGGTACACTATGCCATTAGCTAAAGTCAGATATCTTATGGCTGGATACTCACCGAACACCGAGGCGAGTAAAGTCGTAGGTCACATTGTGGCCGTCAGACATGCCAGTGAAGGTGATGCCATCCTCGGGCTGGGGAACGTTGACCGGCGTGGGAACGTGGTCAGCAAAACCACCGTGCTCGTCAAAGTTGAGGATGATCAGACTGATATGTCAGTTGCTTAAGCTCAAAGTAACTTCTGCAGGCACTTACACGTTGTCCCAGTACTTGGACTTGCGCACTGCATCATACAGATGCTTGATCAGCTGCTCACCCGAGGCCATGTTGCTAGTCGGGTGCATCGAGTCAATGGTGCAGCACTCGGGGTTATAGTAGGAGAACTGGGGCAGAGTTCCCTCCTCGAGATCGCGGTAGAACTGGTCGGAGTGAACCAGACGGTCCATCGCATTGTCTTGCACCCACTGCTCCTGTTAGAACTATACTGACGTGGAATCTGGCCTACTCACCTTGTACATGTAGGCATCGACAATGTCCGTCTCATAGTACTGTGTCACTTAGCCATTGCTCCGTATCCAAATGTGTCACATCGCTTACGTTTTTCCAGGTGATGTTCTTCTTGCTGAGAGCCTCGAAGATCGAGGTCGCACAAGTCGTACCGGTGTAGTTGGCATACCAGCCGGCAGATTGGTAGGTGTTGTCAACGAAACCGCAGGTCGATCCCGAAGTAGCGAACTGGCGGTTGGTGTTGGTCGGGCCAGGGTGTTCCGCGAACTGTCTGGTCAGCGTGCGCTCATCACCAATACCATCCGCAACTCACATAGCTGTCCCAGAAGGCAAAGTTCTTCGCAACCTCAATTAGAGTTGCCGTCTTCTTCTCATCGTAGGCCTTGATGACGAAGCTAGACTCGCCCGGACTGGCTGCGTATTTCTCCGACTGGCGCTCAATAAAACCTCCCATGTTGGGAACATCGTCCTTGGTGGGGTACCACTTGCGGAAGATCTCATACGTGACGCCGGCGAAGTTGTGGTCCGGATCGGTCAAGGGCACCTCGGTTTCAAATGGCGCAGCGCAGACATTGAGAGGTTCGTCCCAGACCGTCCAATTGGGATTGGTGTACTCGTTGCAGTAGGAGATGTTCCGCAAGTTGTCAATGTCGGGGTGAAAGTCCCAGTACCCGGCGATGTTGTCGAACGAGTGATTTTCCATCATCAGGTAGATGACATGTTTGATCTGCCCACGTCAGTGGCACTATCGGTTTCGACAAGCGGCTGCACTCACATTGGAGCGAATGTGTCCCCATTGATCGCTATCGCGCTTGTGAGGGAGAGCGGAGGCCACAGTGGCCAGGGCCGAGATAGCAGCTACGTTCAGCTTCATGTTGACTACTGCTCCGCAACCACTTTTTTGAGCTTCAGAATCCCACCTCACCGACACCGGGGCTGACCGGTGAGATATTTATCTTCCTGCCTCGCATGATGAAGGACGCATCCGGGCCTGGTCGGATGCACGGGGGCCTCCTTCGGCGCATGAGGGATCCACTGCGGCAGACGTCTTGCGTTCACTAACCAGCTAGAAGCCAAAGAATGAGTCGCGATGCTCCGTAACTGCCAACCATGGTCCAATGGCACGCGAGATGGCCCATCCCACGTGGTAGGCAGACGGGCTGCTCGCGTGAGCCTTTTTGTTGCAAGCAAGGCAACACAAGAACATGCCAACTTCGGATGCACTCCGCAGTGGGATGAGGGGAAAGAATTGGAGCAACGAGCACGATTCGGACTGTACAGCCGCGGAGCATGGTGATCAGCTGCTGGAATGATTGGTCATGAAGCAGTAAGTCGGAGATAACTGCGTCGATTAAGCCGAAATAGGGAGGTGAAAGCGTCTCCGCTCACGCGAAGGACTTCCTGGAGAGGGGAGAAGAGGTGAACTCGGTGAAATCGGCGCCCTCCGGTGCATGCGATAGCAGACGATAGTAGACGATAGTCGATGCAAGCGGTGCATCGTGCTTCAGCCGTGCTTCTCGATTGCAGTTTAACTTGGCAGACTAATCGGGGCTGGACCGGACAGCCGATTGTACTAATCAGCCAGTCGAAGTGGAGTGTGATAGGGACAAAGAGTGTTGTATTAGGAAATAAGCATCCCTGATTGGACAGTCACCCTCAGCGGCGGAGACACCCACTGTGCCACTAAGCCCAACGAGGCAAGGGCGCCTTCCCTTACCGGCCCAAGCTTCAGGGACTCCGCAGTGAAGTGGATCCCTGATTGCAGTATCCCGGCTGCCCCAACCAATCAGAGGCCCACGTGCCGCATTCGCGCACCCCCGCGACTGCAGATGACTGGGAGGCCATCAGGCACGTTGTCGGTCAGCTTCTCTCCATAGGCAGATGATAAGCCTGGCTGGCTATCACCGGAGCACGAGATGCATCCTGGAGGGGGTCGCTTCATTGTGCTTTTCCCGTCTGCTTCCCGGTCTCTCTTCCTCGGTGAATGCAGCTCATTCATATGTAGTAGCCGACGCTCCCGTAGACCGACTGAATAATAATAATCACTAAAACTTTCCTGGACCTGAGATCATGCTGATGTTGCTACTGTGATCTGTTTGCTGCACTCCATAGGTCAATTGTCGCCCCGATCCAGCTGTTCTGAAATCTACTTCTTCACCCAGCAATCGTCCTCTTCAGCAGAAATCCCCCGATTTTTAGGCTAGTCTTCTTGCTGCTTATTTAGTCTGGTTGCCACTGTGTGACCTGCCAGTCCAGTAGCAAAGTTTTCTCCTCATCCTCTTTCTCAATCTTGGTTGAAACAACATTTCAACTTTCCAACTCTTGTCAACATGTCGATCTCTTCTCTGCGAGGCCTTCTTTCCAGTTACTCTCCCGTTTCAGAGGGATTCAGTCAACCCGATCTGGAAAAAGAGGTTCATGTTTCCCTTCGAAATGGCGACGACAGCGAGTCTTCCTCATCCCGGTCTGTCTGCCGGGAAAAAGCGGAGAAGAAGGAGTCCAAGATTGTTGACGGACGTATCGTCTCCGACGCTATCATCGGTCTCTCCGACGGCATGACGGTCCCCTTTGCTCTAACCGCAGGCTTATCTGCTTTGGGAGACACCAAGGTCGTGGTCTTTGGCGGCATGGCCGAACTCATTGCAGGAGCCATCTCCATGGGATTGGGAGGCTACTTGGGTGCAAAGAGCGAAGAGTGAGTATTCTCCAACTTACTCACGTAAGGGGAGGAAAGAAGCGGATAAAGCTAACCGAACTGTAGGGAGTCCTACCGCGCAACCCTGAAAGAGACGAAGCAAGAGATCCTGACTGACCCCGCTTCGGTGACCGAGACGATCTCCGATGTCTTTGCGCCCTATGATCTCCCCGCAGAGCTTGTGGGAGAGCTCACGCGACACCTCTCCTCATCCCCTAACCTCCCCTCCTTCCTCATGAATTTCCATCACACCGTCCAAGAACCCTCTGGTTCTCGTGCCTTCATCTGCGCCTTGACCATTGCACTGGGATACTTCATCGGTGGCTTCGTGCCACTCCTGCCCTACTTCTTCGTTGGGCCTCATGATGTACTCTCTGCTCTGCGCTGGTCAATCGCCACGATGGCCGTTGCTCTGTTTCTGTTCGGATACGGCAAGACATGCTTTGTGAGCGGATGGAAGGGATATCGGAACATCAGACGCGGCGTCATTGGCGGCTTGCAGATGGTTCTAGTCGGAGGTGTTGCAGCAGGCTCTGCAATGGGGCTGGTGAAGGGATTCCAGATGCTGGCAGACTCTCATGGTCATGAGCATTAGCCGAGCATGAGAAGCAGTCCAGTCCATGACATGATTGTTAAAAATGGCGTTTTTGGCGGGATGACAAGAGTTCAAAATGGTATCATCTTCGGCGTTGTTAGGACTTGATTTGGAACATGTACATAGATCTATTAAATCAAGGGATGGTTTTAGTTAAGTTGATAGTACATCAAATCTCTCTAATACTACATCACCCCACACTCCCATTGGAGCAAATCTTCCCAGAATCGTCAGCCCTGCAAACGTCCTCCCAAGCAAGGCATCCACAACCATCCACTGCAACCTCAGGCAGTCACATCCTCCCTCCAACCTGAGGCAACTTCATACCCCATCCATGACCACACCTCTTACTTGTTCATGATCAATCAACCAACATTCCAAAAATACCCTCACAGCATACTAGTAGTACTACCTGGTATCTACTTCTCCCATTACCAACATTTACTGAATACATACATACTCTACAACATACAATACCAATTATACTAGGCACCACCCATTCAATCATTGCTCCCTATATCTCTCACAAAGACCTGATACTATATATAACCACTATACATACAGTAGTCCCTTATACCCCCAAATATAGATCCATCACTGCAACTAGTAAGCGAACAAGCGATAAACAAGCAAACAGAACAAAGCAAACAATGCCACCTAGTGCCGAGATACTAGTATCTAGCACCTCCCCCAATTAGTGGCAGTGACACTGGTGTACTAAGTAAGCAGTGGCTGTGCCTGCATTCCCCAGATCAAAGCAGATCGACAACATTCATCCAGTCATCTGCTAGAAACTCCGTACCTTGATCTGCACTGCGACTCGGCATAGCCCAGCCAGGCTGGCAGGTTGGCAGATCACTATCCATCTAGTTGACGAAAAGTAGAACCGAAAAAAAAGAAAAGAAATACAAAGAAAGGCTAAAAGCCGGTAAGCATTCCAACCCTCGTCGATCGATTGATTGGGCTGGAACAACATGCCGGTTCTCAACTACTTACTACCCCCTTTCCCCACCGTTAGCCACGCTTTGGCTTGATTTTCTCCCCGGTGAGAACTTAGATGCATTCCATTTCGTCTACGTACTGTTCCTTCAGGAGTTGGTATGTTTCACGGGTTGGAAGGGGTGGAATGAGGAGACGGAGGAGGAGAAAGGGGAGCATGGCTTTGAGCCGCATTGTGGAGTAAGTATCTACAAGGTATCCTGGGTTGTACCATTAGTTGTACCTGGGATGGTTTAGATAGAATGTTACAGATGTTGAGAACTCATGAATGAGTGAAGCCTTGTGGGTGGTTTGATTATGTGGGTAAGTAACCCATCAGGCTGTTGCAAAGCCCACTGCAGTGCACCGCAGCGCAAGGCAGTGCTAGTATTGACATTGTGTCGTGATTGGCTTGCTAAGTATACTTTACTTACTACTTATGTATGTCCTGTGATAGGAAATGGAGTTACCTACCTTAGTAGTGTAGATCTTCCGCAGAGAGAGATAATCAACTACTCCGTAGTGGTAGTCTATAATATACACAGTATACTATGCTGCGTATCATCGGTAATTTATCCATCCATTTAGGAAAGCAACACCCGACCAGACACCACTGTATATCCTGGAGTCGATCCAAGAGTTAATTCGACCACCGGACGAGTGGCATGCGGGCAGCAACTGAAATGATTAAACAACGAACATCATAGCGGAACGGCATGCGGCATGACCTCATTGCCCGGACCACCCTGCAGATGAAGTGGCTGTCTGATTCGTGCCATCCGATGGCACGAGCAAAAGAAAGAAAAAAAAAAAAACAACCTGAACATCAGGTGATGCTATGGGGCTGGGCTCCTGCAGCTGCCGACCGGGCGGCGGTCAACGAAAAGACCCCATCATGAGTTTGATTTGAGAGAAGTAAAGAAAGGAAGGAAAGAAAGTAATGCTGTATTGTTGTATGTAAGTAAAATGTGTATGTATGTACGGATCCTTACTTGCACTCCAAATGAATGCAAGGCTCACTCACCCACTCCCTCACTCACTGCTCGTTCCTGATGTCAGATCGATATCCATCAATAATGTGGGAGACGTTCGAGAAGCTCGGATTACAGGAAAAGAAAACCAGATTTCGAGTCGATTGTGGCTGATGGGCTGGAACTCCGCCCACGGTTGTCTCGGCTTTCCATGATGTACTATGATGTATACGACGTTGAACCCCATGTTTTCTGCCCTCGGAAACCGAATGTCCATGATGCAACAAGAAAAGAAGCGGGGACCGATGCTTCTGTTACTTTCTTGCTTTCTTCGAGACATTGAAGGTTAGCTGTCACTATCCTCCAACTCTTTCTAGGGTTACCCCCCTATGCATCCCTGACGTTTGAATTTCACAACCCAAATTGAAGTAGTGATGATGATGATCTTTCTGGTCCAAGCCACGGCTCGGCGTCGGGCGGTGGTCGCGTTGTGTTGGCCCAAGCTTATGCCGATCCACTCACGGCCAGGCAACCGTCAACCCTCAGCAATCACAGGAAGTCCGAATACGAGCTTGCTGTAAAGAAATATCCTTGGATTTAGGGGAGGGAGGAGAAAAAGGGTTTTATTTTCAATATCGGACCCTTTTCTGATAGTTAATTTGTAAGAATAGATGAGACACGTTCACTGCCCCCCTCTAGTACTATTATCTTATTGTTCTCGCATCCCTTTCTGATTCGCAAGGTATACCTCCATTCTGGGGTTGCTTTGCTGCCTATGCGGCTGGAATTAGACTGCGGCATTCCTTCGTCCTTTAATCTTAGCTCACCATTAATCCCAGCAACGAATCTATCAAGGTAACTATTGAAAAGCACTGCCCGCTGTGCTACGTAAGAAGAAGCTGTGCTCTCTGAGCCTCCGAAATGAAGCTGGACCCGTGCCCTCGTAAAGTGTTCCCAATATGTATCTATCTTGTTACCGAAATGAAAATCACCTGACGCTGAATCAGCGGAATTCAAACGATGCAAGAGTAACATACTGAGGTAAGTAAGTAACCAAAGTAATTAACGCGGCCACGACCACGATGGAGATTGTCATCAAACGTAAATTGGGGCCAAAACTACTCATGACGCCGCATTCTGAAACCATACCTTCATTCAGCGCTGTGCTCCCCCAACGCATTATATTACTATATCTTACTTCTTACACAGATAGACAACTCAATAATGAAGCTGCCAGAAATCACCACAGTTGAAGTGAAGCGCCGGCGTCCACCCTCCCCGCATCATCACGATGGATGCAGTAATCTGCCGTGTGCCATGGTCAGCTGCCACTTAGATCCCCAGACTTCCAACTAACTACTGCAGAGAGTTTCACACCAAAAAAAGCCTACCAGTGAGTGTGATGTTTTGTCTTTCTCTTCTTTACTCGGATGTGAACTGATCATCTCTGCCCGGCGCGGCTTGCCGTGATCTTCCCACCCATCTCGAGGTATTCCAACTATGGTATGGAGCCCGCGTACCATACGTATGGTATGCCAACAATACCATACCAGACGGTAATGGGTGGCCCGGCGCTTCCAGCTTTCTTTCTACTCGTGTGCCCAATACACATAATTTCCTACTAGACTGCTGCTTAGACTCCCATAGACTTGCACATCATTGCCTATCCTTGACCCTGAAAATGTCATGTCCCCTATAACTAATAGTTTAGTGAGTTCTAGTTAGCTACAACACGGAGGTTTAATTATTCATCGTCGGTGTCTGTGTCCCCTTAAGCTAGCACCTTAGTTATTAGGTAACTATGGAGCAAGTAACTGTTTCTCTACTATGTAGGTACTACTAGGTAGTAATTTAGCGGATGACGGAGGGGGAGGCGCATGCGTGGTCCCTCTCATCAACGCGCGCTTTTTTCTTACAGCAGCAGCAGTGCGTGCCTCGAGAGCGTTAGATCGGGCATATGACAGGCGCAGGCTGTTTCGTGTTGAAAGAAAGATGGCTGGTTGAGAGACTAGCCCTGTTAGACTTTTGTGCAGGACGGAGGGGGCGCGCCACTTGACAATCCCTCAACAAAAAGCACCTGTTGGCTGATCACTGTATAGCTAGTCCAGATAGCAAATATCAGGTCGGGCTGGGCACGCGGCTATCGTCCGAGCTGCTTGACCCAGTCATGGGTCGTACGGTCCTGTCTATCCGTCTGAGCTCCATAGCCGCTAACTACTCTGTTTGGACAAAGGTCAAGATTCGAATTTTCGAGTCTTCTGAGCCCAGACTACTATCTAGTACTATCTACTTATGAAGCAAGCGGGATCCGGAAGTTTAGATTACCGATTGATATCCGGGGGAGGCATGGGCTCTTGCCAACACCCCCCGATTGTTCCCTTTGAAAGTGGAATTCACACGGCAATCCCGGCACATGGACTCCGTATAAGCCTTGCCAGCCGGTCAGCCAGCTAGCTAGACAGGTACAAAAACCCACACCAGCAACATGGCATCGTGTCGATGCCGGGTCCGATCGTGCCTAGCTTCCGCAGGGGAAGAAGGAGGAGATTTGATAATGCGCATAATGCGCAGGATGATATTGTGACCAACCAGACTATTCAGGGACAGCGGGTCTTGGCTGCAGGGTAATCGGCGATTTCTTTGGTCGGATGCTGCTGACTGTGAGACCGTTGTGGGTTAAGCGAAATTGGTTCTGGAGATCCACTGCTTCCAATTGGCTGCGGATGGCTTGCGAGTGGAGCTCCCAAGACCAATCATCAGGGGCAGTCCGGAATCCCATGAAATGAGCATCCGGGAGTTGTGCTGGGATGGTCTGAATTGGGCGTCTCGCTGAGTGATATTTTTTATTGTTTATTTGGATTTTGAAGGTTTGCTTATTCCATTCCCCTCGAGACTCTTGCCCCCTCTTCACTATCTTAATTATATTAATGTGATGTGTAAGATTCATTTGGAACCTGCGTGTCAGCAGCGAGCGTGTCTCATAGGTTACTCCTTGCGGAGAAGATTTTATGTCTGTGTCTCTGGCTGCTCGGTGTCAGCCAAAATCCGTAGTAGTAATTACTAGCCTGCATGTTCCGTAGTATATCCCGACTTCTCCGAGAGCTGCTGTTTGGATCCGTTTACATTATGCCTTGCCAGGCAGAACAAAACAAGGCTTATGCTTGTTTGTACCCATATCTTCAATTTTAGCCT